GACACACACACACAGACAGACACACACACACAGACAGACACACACACACACATACACAGTTGGCGTGTCATAAAAAGCTTCTGACTCCACACCTCCACACAAAACACACAAGACAAATGCAATCACATGAAACATATACGATGCTATTGTACCTGTTGACTTATTGTATACTAACAAAAACAAACAGTATATGATGCCTGATTTGCTGACAAATACTGCCCTACGAAGGCAAAACACGGTAACTACACCCTGAACCTGAGAAAGAGGGCCTCACAGTTTTTAGACTGTCCACCCGTATGTGTGGTAGGTAGATAATTAATAGTGTTTTATTCCAAAACTGAGCATAGAACTAAGATATTTTGGCACAGCATAACAGAGACTAAGGCACCAGATTTCCATCATCACTCAGTTTTGGTAAAATATGCAGTTACAAAGTTTTGCCTTAGTGTGGCAGTATATATGCATGACAGTGACCGTGGTGTGGCTAAGTCTTATAAAGTAGCTGAGTGGAAGTAACAGCATAACGATGCAGCCTGATAACGACGATAATGGCTGCACGGCAGGCTTCCAGTGGTCCGGCTGCTCCGACAACATCGCCTACGGCGTGGCCTTCTCCGCCTCATTTGTGGATGTTCGCGAGAGGGGCAAGGGCTCGTCCTCCAGCAGGGCACTAATGAACCTCCACAACAATGAAGCTGGGAGGAAGGTATGGTGTCGCCAGCTGAAGCACAGGACCCGGTAATGCGCCTGCTTCAGCGTGAGTGCAGGCCTGCACCCAGAGATCAAAAGCGTGAAACTCTTTCATGAAAGCTATAGGTTCTTTAGAACATAGTAAGACAATGACTGGCAACACTCAACCAAAATGGATTAATAAGCCGTAAAAACAATAATTTTTTTCTCAAATTATTTCCAGTAAGTGTAAAAATATATCAAGTAGAGATAATGGTGAGAAACAGGGCTTTTGAGATGAACTTTTAGTGTTAATTACTGTTGACAAATAAATCAACCAATTAGAAAAAGACTAAAATTGTTGGACAGATTGACAGCTACTGTAATTTCTTCACTAGCCATAAATACATAATCATGGGCGTTAGGTCCGATCGCTCCCGGGTATTTTAAGGCCGAGTATTTCAGCGCTGATGCCAATCTTCCTTCAAAAACAAAAGAAGTCAAGCCCCAGGTAAAGCTGATCTTTTCAATAGCTAGAAACTCCCTCGTACATAATTATGTGGAAAGTTAAACTAAATAATCCATCTTGTGTCCAGAAGAATATATAAACAGGTAGTGATGTATGACCTCCTACACCGAATGTATGTTTGTGTCTGCTTGTGTCGCCCCCCTCCCCGCAGGCCATCCTGAACAACATGCGGGTGGAGTGTAAGTGCCACGGGGTGTCGGGCAGCTGCGAGGTGAAGACCTGCTGGAAGGCCATGCCCCAGTTCCGCAAGGTGGGCAACATCCTCAAGGAGAAGTTTGACGGTGCCACTGAGGTGGAGCAGCGCAAGGTGGGCACCTCCCGTGTGCTGATGCCTCGGAACCCCCAGTTCAAGCCTCACACGGACGAGGACCTGGTCTACCTGGACCCCAGCCCGGACTTCTGCGACCGCGATGCGAGGAGCGGGGTGCTGGGCACGGCCGGCCGGCTCTGCAACAGGACGTCCAAGGCCATCGACGGCTGCGAGCTGATGTGCTGCGGCCGCGGCTTCCGTACGGAGCAAGTGGAGGTGGTGGACCGCTGTAGCTGCCGCTTCCACTGGTGCTGCTACGTCAGGTGCAAGCAGTGCCGCAGGACAGCGGAGACGCACGCCTGCCGGTGACTACCCCCCCCCCTCCTGATGACCACACCCAGTATCAGTGGCCCCGCCTCCTGTGGATGGCTCCACCCTCAGCCCCCATAATATTTTGGTGAGGCTCCACCCAAATGACCACCTGCAAGCAAATGAACCAATCAGAGACATTCATGAGAAATAATGAGCCAATAAGGACACTGGAATGGTCCCATGTATGTTTCTTTGAACTTCTGTTTTTCTCAATACATCCTGGCTTTTTTTTCATTTCTTATTTATTGTTACTCATACTGAAAGAGGTACCTGAGAAATTATGTCTCCTGGAAACCTACTGACAGGAAAACAGGAAGTTATGCCTTATCATGGTGCCGTAGTCTGAGATCGGGGGGGTGGACAGGGGTGGTGTTAGATCATTAGATTTTACTGCTGCTTTACAGACTCTTTCAAATGGACAGATACACAGAAGATGACCAGGAATTTTCAATGGATTTGAGTTTTTTCTTTTTGCTAGTCACAAGTGTATCTGTGCAAAGTGTCCCGTGTGTATACGCCTGTTTGTTCGTGTACAGCAGTGTGCTGTTCAGCTACGATCCCAAACTATGGAATCACAAACAGTGAAAACAAAGCTCTGCTGAAGTGTTAAAAAAAAGGTTCCTCTTCTCCCCTACTGAGCACATTTTATTCACTTCCTGGGGTGTTATGTCACACTAAGGTGTCCCAGTAAAGAGAAGTACAAAAAACAAAAAACACTGGAACGCGACAGGTCAGGTGGGATGTGATCGTACCGGCTCGTATTTCCAGTCGAAATTACGCTGAGCTTGACAGCAAGGGTGTTTGGAAGGATCTGGAAAATCCCTCAACACTACCAGCTTGGTTGGAATAAGGCTGAGAAGCTTCGTCATTCATTACAAATGTGTGACACAGTCGTAAGCACAAGCTCTACGTCAGAAATGCCATCCAGAACTCTGTAAAATCAGATCAGCAAATACTCATGTGACGATACACTGCGGCATACCGTATTATTTGAATATATGTCAAACTTAAAATGTCGAAATATAATAAATACAGACTATTTTTTCCTACTTAGACTGAAGGTGGGTGTTATTCATTTGGGAAGGATTTAAGCTCAGCTGTCTGCTTGTCTTGCAATTCTATTCACAAAATTTCTATGTGAAAATTCTCTGAGGTAGAAGGACTACACCATGTTAATGCAGCTGGGGCTTACAGGTGTAGGGCAAAAACGGCACCGATGTAGCGTGGAAGCAACACTGATGTATCTGGGTATGAAGGGCTATAAAGGGAGTGTTATTTTACACTTATTCCAGGGGAGGTACATAGGAATTCTCTGGCCTTCTCGTGTCGCATCCTGCTCTCCCATGAGGGCGAGGCTTCGGTTCCGAGCTCAGAGTCAGCCGCTCGGGGAAAAGGGCCTTATTAAAGGCCCGAAAGTGACCCCTCTCCCGGGCGTAAGATTCAAAACAGCAACCTTCTGGACACAAGTAAAGCTTCTTAACCCACAGACTTGCACACAAATGGAGGCAGTGGGATGTGGTTACCTTCAGGCTATGAGCTTTAAAGGATGGAATACACATAAGGCAGTAAAAGTTATCTGCTTACTAACGTTAAGTTAAACTGAAGGATTTTTTTTGTGTCTTGATACATTACCAGCATAGGGAAAACATAACCCAAGGCCGAGGTGGAGGGGGGGGCATGTCACTGTGGACCACATGAGCTGTTGACCTCGACAGGCCACCAGTTCGGCCTGTGTGCAAACCAGGAAACTTTCCGTACGGCCAGTAATAATAATTACTCACAGATGCATGAGGTTAATGGAAGCTGTGCAGTTTACCCCATGTTCCTACCTTGTCACTCACATGAAATATGTGTGGTTTGTGGCAGTTTAATGGCCAAAATATCCCAGAATCCTCAAGTTAGCTCAATAGCCTTCTGTTCATCATGAAGTATGAGCTACCCGGGGGGAGTGGGGGGGAGGACGACAGGACACTCATCACAGGAAAGTCATTTTTAACAATGGCGAAGACGTTAGTGATGAGGCCTTTGCATCAAAACTCACAGATGATCAGGGAGATAAATTCGTTCTCTCATGGCCTTGGGTCTCTGGTTCCTCGTTCCATCAGCATTTTGTAATTAATGAATTGGGCCAGAGGATTCTTCGGAACAGACTGAGCGTTATTCACATTGCTATAGATACACTTTGAAGGTACAATACACAAGTCACACACACCCAGACCTGTAGAGTTTAACGCCTCGCTGACACCTTGTTACTCATCATTTGCTGCCATTATTATTATTTTACTAATTTTTATTTTAAAATTGGTTTTTTTATATAAGGTATCAGCTCATCTTAAGTATCAGAATGTGAGTAAAATATGAACTTGGCTCCAATAAAATTCACAAACCTCATGCCTGGCTAAAGTCTCTAGACCCCAGAGTACAAACAGCACTTCCTGACCAGCATTTCTGGGGTCTTCAGCTCCCCTCTGGGTTTTTTCTAGGGTCTGTTCATTTTCTGAAGTCTCCCCCAGAGCAGCAGAAGCGCCACCCAAACATTAATCCAAACAGCAAGTCAGCTGACCGAACTTACACACAACTACAGGGGTTTGTGCTATTTAACTGTCAGGGTAGATTTGCTGCTCTTCACTGCTGTTTACACTGAATGTGTTGAAATTTTTCCACCATTAGAATTCGGTTCATATATTTATTTTTAAATTTTTTTTACAAGGTACCTCTATTGTCAGTTCCATCTGAAGATTTATCTTCCTGCAATCTAGAAGGCCATACCTGGACCGTGGTGGGACTGCGACTGGGGCAGTAAATGAAAAGCAGGATCAGAACCCGGGGGCCCCTCCATTGCGCTCTTTCTGAAAGGGCTGCGGGGCCAAACCTTCCCAGGAATGTCATCGCGGGTGTTTTCTTTGGGCGGGACGCAGCTGCACCGAGACGAGGAGAGCCGACGGGAGACGAGTCCAGGGCTGGGATGCCTGTGACGATCCATCATGTCACCTGGGTGATTAACGGCAGTGCGGCTTCGCAGGGTGTACAGCACATTCCCCCCAGGAGGGGGAGCCAGAACAAGCCTGAGAGTGGAGCAGAAAGGCCTTTACTGCAAATGCGCATTTCACATTTAATTAGCCAATTACTGTCTTCTGCTTAAGTCTGAAGAAACCTGACATTTTCAGAAAAACCACAGAACTCTTCTTCATTTTTGCTATTCCTATAATGGGCTTGCCTTCCTTTAAAACAACAGGCTAAAAACCACCACATTTCTCCCAAGCCAGCTACAGCTACTAGTATGTTTAATATCTTGACATTCACTAGGCTGTGAGCACAAACAGGGCATGTATCTCCAGCAACATCTGAAGGGTTCTGTGGGTTCTCTCTGCACAGCTCCTGGTCCAGGCTCAGCTCAGCACATGCATGTACCACAGCACAGACCTGCCCATCTGTAGCGCAGACCTGCCCATCTGTAGCACAGACCTGTCCATCTGTAGCGCAGACCTGCCCATCTCCTCACCAGCTGCTGTACATGGCTTAGAGTCAGGCTCAGCACATGCTTAATTCAATATTATTTGTTGCTAATATGAGTAATGAATTTGCCTGTTACTACCACCTTGGATAAGATCATCTCCTACGTGGTCCACCTGGTCCACTAGTAGGAGCAGAAATGTAGAATGTCTGGCAGGGAGCTGGGAGAGAGCAAAAATGCGGACCACCTGTGGGTCCCCCAAGGACCGGGTTGGGAAACACTGCCCTATGTTAATAAAATACAAATGCCACATGCCGTAATGCAGTTTAACTAATTTGGTGAACATGCATAAGTATCAGAGTTACCTGGCCACCATATAAGGACAAGCAGTTAGGCTAATCGGTGTCTGTAAATTGTCCATAGTGTGCGAGTGGATGTGGACTGGCATTCCATCCAAGTTGCACCCCTGCCTCATGTCACGTTCTGCCAAAGTAGGCAGTTGGAAGATGGATGATTGAATGAATGCATGTGCATTTGCTTTAAATACTCACTTTTGAAATTTCTCCAATCACAGAAAGCAAGATTATGTACTAAAGCAAGGGGATCATCAATTCACAAGGGGGCGCTGTATGTACAGATGTTTTTACCCTTTGAGTCATCAGAGATATCCAGTGCTGTGGGATTGTCTGTTTCGCATGTTGCTGTTATTGTGGTTAATTTGGGGTGTTTGCAGGAGTGAACACAGGCATGGGCACAGCGTCTATCAAACTCAAACATTAACACACAGGAAATGTAACTATAATGTAAACGTTAGTTTAATATCACAAAACAAAGATTCCAAATGCAGAAAACAAGAACGAAACATTTGGTTTTGCACAAAATGGTTACAGTATATGTTGTAAATCTAAGAAAGGTTTTAAACACTCCATAATACAACCAAAACACATTTAAATAATAAAAAATAAAAAATGGTTGGAAGACATATGACACAACGCAGTGCACCATATTACTCACAATCTTGCTGTATATTGCATAAATTAATGGCAACAAATAGAGACTTGTAAACCCAGGCCAATCCTGACTCCATTTCATATAGTTTATTAATTATTTTAAACATCACTTTTAAAATACTTAAGTTCCACAGCATACTCATACAAAGGGTAATTTAGGTGAAGGCGACATATTAATCTGCTGTTAGGAATGCTTACATCGCTGCTCCATAAATCATAACGTGAGCCCTCTAGGGTCGCTAATCAGTTAGGGGAGGACATCGACAATGCTACCATTCATAAATAAAAAGAACTCCTTCAAAGAGGAATCTTTTGTTGAAATGCTAGCTGGCTTCTGAGCACTGTATGCCCATGGCAAGGACCGCAAAGAAGGCCATTAGCCGGGAAAATCACTGAGTGATATGATCTAACTCATCCTCTCATCCTAACTACCCAACTAGAGCTACTGCATGTTGCTCCTGACCAGCGTGGGGTCCAGAAGCTTCTCTACAAATCTATTACAATGAGCCAGTCATTTGTAGCAATTTTTTAAATGGATATCAATGTAACCAGGACTTTATCAATTTAAGGCAGGTCTCTCGAGGGCCCCTGGAATCTCCGGCATTCGACCCCACTGAGCTTGCATTCAATTGACCTTGATTGAGCTGATGGTTGATTCAATAATTTCATCCAAAAAAAAAATCAAGGTGATACATAATGCTGATTTGTAATTTGCGTCTAACCAAACATGACTGGGCCTATACATTCTTCATTATTTTATGGATAAATGCTTATTTAGAAAAACAGATTATGGCCTGATCAATCTTGGCTCATTAACTATTCCTACACTTATTTATATGGGTTTGCTTAAATTTTCAAAGAAATGAAACAAGAGGGTCCCATCCTCCACTTTCACCATCATAAGCCTCCCCAACTGTAACGGATCTGGCCCAGTGAAAATGTCCATAGCTAAACCGCTTGGCTTTAATTTAAACTATTAAAATAATTCCTTTTATCAACAGCTAATCAGGGCTAATGAAAAGCTGAGGGGGACGGAAGACTGCCGCACCCGCCGGTGCCCCATGAACTGGGAGGTCACAGGCAGTAGATCACTAACCTTCCAGTACATTTCAGGACATGCCTCCCAATGCCTCATCGACCAGCTCTCTCCACTTTCATCCTCACTGCTACGTAATGAGTCATTTCCTGTCTTCAATGGGGTGCGATATCTAATATCTAAATTAAATGTGGGTTTGGAGAGCAATTCTCAGACTGCTCCTGTGGGATCCACTCTCTTTGCCGCTTAGAGTTTAACCGTTAATTAAAATTAAATGCGAGCTGGATATAGTAGCTAAGAGAAGCAGGATACACATCCGTAAAAAAATAATTGTTTCAGTATTACAGATACAACTGAGTGAATAAAACTGTTGAAATAGTAAATATTTTATTCTGATTCATTGGGGTAAATTTCAGCACCAATGAAGGATTAAATGAATTACAAAATAAATGAGCAGTTCACAAATTACATTATATTATAATACCAACTTGAAATGAATTAATTGTTGTTTAATATTTCTTAGTAATGCTACATTCCACGCAATGAAGCCCCCCAGGACTGGGAATCAGCGGTTTAAAGAGGTCTCCCCATCATAATGCTAAAAGGCTGGAAATGTACAGGTTTTTAAGATCTCTTCTAATCCACTAACCATGCTTCTACAGAGAGGAGAGGCTAAATGACCTCAGTTAAGGAATTAATTGCTTCAAAGTCTAATGTGCTGAAAACCAGCCCACCAGGCCCCACTATAGAGTATGAATATGGCCTTAGCCCTCAGAGGGAATGTTAGGAGAGACGATCAGAGCAGTGCACATCTGTGCAGAAGGATTTTCGGCTTCTTGGGCTCCGGAGGCTCCAGGGCAGCCAGAATCGCCTCATCAAACACATTCTTCAGTCCTTTCTGCAAACACAGGGCACAAGAGAAGCAAAAATCTCAACACGCATTGTGGCAACAGGAGACACAGGCACTTTTATTTTGGAAAACGCACACAATTGGACACACCCGAGTACAGTGTCACGTCAAAACATCTTCCGCTGAGCGAGAGCAGAAGGTATGGAACCTCGGGAAGGGCAGCTATGCCATTTTAACAATCAGGAACCAATAAGTATTTCGGAAGCAGAGCAGACTGGAGGGCAACATGAGATATGCGAGACATTTGAAGAGGCGATGTCACATAAAGCGAAACGTGACAGGCTGAGGGCATCATCCTCAGAACCTCCCTTCTGCCACACAGCATCAGTTTGAACTAACAGGCCATATAACTTTTCCCACGTGTACAGAAAATGCTTTTATTCCTTGAGTGCTGTAGTTGTACTTCTACAACTAAACTTTACTTTTGAGTTGTACATCATATTGAAAACACTTAAAGACAACAAAAGGGTCCGCAAATACTGTCAGTTCTCAATTGTGATGCAACAAATAATCGTAAATACATGCATACTAATAACTACCTTAGAATATGCAAGCCAAGTTGCTTGATATTTAATTCTGGTAACAGCGAACAGGATTGTTTAATGCATTTGGGCCCTGAGAGGGATGAAGAATGTTAGGACTACATTTGCTAATATTCACACGTTATCATTAAATCCATAATTGAAACAAGATGGTTTCTGAACCTGTTCACAACTATTGTATTTCAATTGGATCACAAATCTTAAAGCAAAGGGTTGATTCGGTCATACACTGCCAAAGGCCTAACATACACCCATAAAAGTATCAGATGGACAGAATATAAGTGATTTCAGTTTTCCTTTATTCAAGTCACATTGCACATGATCATACTTTTCATTTCCAAAATCTTGACACTTATCATCCACTGACCAATTGTAGCCATGGATTATATTAGAGATTTATTTTCTGATACAATAGTAAAAAACTGAAAATACACTAAAATAAGTTATGCAAAAATCTTAACAAAAAACAAACTTCACAATGCATTCATGAAGAAACGGCTTTCTTAAGGTTTGCCAAAATTCACACTGAGGTCACAAATAATGTCTTTTAAAAATAAAAATTTAAAAGTTAACTATCCACAAACTGCCTAGTCTACAACTTAATACTAAGTGCAGATATAGAGAAGGTATTTCCATGGGCAAAATGCACCCAGCTACCCCTACATCAGGTGATTCAGGAAACATGTGAATACTTAGAGTAAGGCCGAAGAAAGAGAAGAGGAACGGCAGCACACAATTACTAAAGGCAAGACGTTCTTAAAGGACAGGATAGAATGAATGCATTTTAAAAATAAACAAAACAAAAAAAACGCAGCAGCTTGGAAAAGTATACGATGGACCTTTTTACAGTAGTGGATTAAAAAAAACAGCAGCTGGGAGGAAAAGTGGAATTAAGAAATGGAACAAAAACGGCATTTTAGAATATACAGCACTTCCGCTTTCGCTGGGTTTCTGGTGGCTCAAGGGCAGCCAGGATGGCTTCATCAAACACATTCTTCAGACCTCTCTAAAAAAAAAAAAGGACAGGGAAAGGGAGAAGTTAGTGGCCAGTGATCAAAGCAAGCAAGGCGGAGCCATTGCACCAAGAAAAACAAGTGCTGTTAAATCAGTAGGTAGCGTAGCTGGTTAAAGATGTAGCCTTGAGACCCAAAGGCTGTCGGTTTGTGTCCAAGGTGGGGTCCTGCTGTAGGACCTTAAGGTGAGGTACAGAACCCCAATGACTGTCTAAATGGGTAAGAGTCAAGCCATGCAAACATACTACACAGTAAGCTGGAACTAGCATGTCGACAGTGCAACTGTCAGACCAAGCGTCTTCGGAGCTCTCAGGATGAGAAGTGTGCACACTGGAGGAAAGGCACCTGTTTGATAATTATTCTACAAAATGCAAAATGGAGAACAAGATGTGCAGGAAAGTGCTTTGGCTTGGAATTAAAAAGTATTGTTAAGTGGTAAAACACAAACATCTATGATCAAAGTTTTTTTTTTTTTTTTTTTAAAAAAAAAAGGATAATAGAATAAAAAGTATAATCTTAATGGTACAAACAGTCTTCTCTATACATGATATAGATGAACAAAAGGAGGCTATCATCTACACTTTATCACAATCTGGTTAAAACAATGGAATCCAAACTAATCTATAAATCACACTATCTGATGCTTACAATGCTATGCTGAAATGTGGGAAAAGTAATATCATTAGAATGAAAAAATCTTAATCAACAATGCATACGTTTAAAGAGCAATACAACTAGGATGCAGCCAGTCAGTTTATAGCTATATAGGTACATACCACCCACTCGCAGATTTGTGGTATTCTATTAATAAAATATGATTTTACACAATTGCTCCTAATGCCTGAAGACCCCTCATCAAAATTCCAAAGATTGTAAAAATGCCCATAGAATGAGCACAGAAAGCACACTATATACGCAAACATAAAAATTTATCACTGCCCTTTGAACATCTGCCATCTGAAAGTACCAGCAGAAGACTTAGACTTAAGATCTTGTCCTCTTCGCCATCAAATATTTTCACAAATCAAAAATGGTAAACCAGGTGGTTTTAATATTTTCACCAACATTTCAAATCCACATATTTCTAGTGAAAAAAATGTCTTCAATTAAAATACGAATGATCATTTGAGAATACTGGTCTGTCAATGGAAGAGCGACATGCTAATATAGAATCCACCTATTTTTATACCACTTCTCTTGCCACAATGCAAGCTTTAAGTGCAAGTTCAGAAACTCACCAACAAGACAGCCCTCAGCCATTCTGGCACCCAGAGAAAATCAGCACGAACAATCACACACCTACTGATAACTCCATGTCTTTGCCATAAGCAAGTCAATGTCAACAAAGGCACTGAAGTGTTGTAAAGCTCAATTCAATTAATCATAGGCCTTGTGCCTTGGGAAGAATTGTGTAATTTTCATTTCAGAGAAGGTGTTTTCCCAAATTAATACACTCACATGTCAGTACACAAACCTTGGTATTTATTAGCTCTCATTCTGTGTGAAAAGTGCTGATTCAAAGTTGGGTTAATGGGTGTGGTGCATTGTTCCTCTTACCTGCGTGAGGGCAGAGCACTCAACGTATTTCACGGCCTTGAGGTCACGGGCCAGCTTCTCGGCTGTCTCGGGGGTGATGGGCTTCTGTTTGTTTTTGGCGAGCTTCTCGATTGTGGAGGGGTCATCCCTCAGGTCAATCTGCGTTCCCACCAGCAGAAACGGGGTCTTTGGACAGTGGTGAGTTATTTCAGGTACCCACTGTGAAAAAGCAAATTGGATGTCAGTACTGGCAAAAATGAAAAATGTATTAGGATTCTTCTGTACAAGACACCCTTCCTGTGCTTATGAAACAATAGGCACTTTCACAACAGAGGAACTTTTTTCCAGAACCAGGAACTTTTGTCAGATTCACACCAGAGAAATTCGGCCCGACTGCAGTTCCTCGGAGGCAGTTCCAGAACCCTTTTTAGTACCTGCTCCAGACTAGGTACTTCTTGTTTGAACACAAACTACTGGGGATGTTCTTACAGCAATAGCTTGCCGATTGGTTGACCACAAGCACTGCTGTTAACTTGGAAGTTATGCTAAAAAAAAAAAGTGTGGGGAAAATAGATCTAACTAGCAAAGCAAACAACTGGGCAGATGGAATTATTCTTGTACTTCATTTACATTTCATGAATACATTTTTTTGCTTCCGTCTCCATATTTCTGCATTGGAAAATTTGATCAATAACCAATATGCTTTGTTCATTATCGATGGTACCAGCAGTGAAACTTGCCAACACTTAGCAGAATACATTTCACTCAATTAAAAAATGGTGTAAATGGAAGATCAATCTGTGGGTCAGATTTAATAATGAAATATACACATCACTGGTCATATATGAAAATATTTAAATAAAAGGCCCATTTTGATCACAATTGTTCTTCAAAAACTAGCAATTTAACAAAACACTTGTTCATCCTCCATTGTTTTGGGGTCTTTGTGTAGTTTCGAACTGTGAGAAGGTTAACCTATGAGCTTTTTGTGTCTCAAATGCTTATTTAGTATTAAGGTCCCAGTTCTGTTGTGCAGTGTGAAAGTGACACACAAAAGTGGCCAAGAGCTACAAAAGTCCCTGGTCAAGACAGTCCGGGAACTTGTAACCAGGCACCAGGTTCTGGAACTTCGGTGTGAAAGTACCTGATGTACAGTAAATAATCCCTGAAAAACTTGTTACTAGATATTGTCTGATGTTCTGCTCTATACTGTAACTGCAGAGGTTCCTCCATAGTACAATAGCATAACTTGTCACCATTAACTTTAAACTCATACTGTTAATAATCGCTTTAATATCTACCATTGTAAAATGCGACAATTCAAAGAAACAGCTGACTTTTTCTATTTTAAAAAAAAGATAACTATCAACAGCACCACACACACCTTTTCCTTAACGTTTTCAAAGGAAGAGGGTGAAACGACTGAGAAGCAAACTAAGAAGACATCAGTCTGGGGATAGCTCAGAGGTCGTAACCTATCATAATCTTCCTGACCTGGGGAAAAAAAAAGAACCATGTTATTTCACACTACAGCCAGAGAATACTAGGGATGCACAAGTTAATCCTCAGATTTCAAAGGCAAATACAACCACAAAAGACAAACACTTATAGAACCTTATTTTACATTACCAACACTTAATAATTAGTAAGAAAGGGGTTGCACTATACCTGCAGTATCGAATAATCCTAAGGTGTAAGGTTCACCTCCAATCATAACCGTTACGGCATAATTATCAAAGACCTGAAAGCAAAAAAGGGTCAATAAGTATGCTGAAGCACAACTTAGTTTCCTTATTTTCTTCATTCTACAGGTGTCTATTTGAAATATTTAGCCTACATTTGACTTGACACTGTACTACTTGATTACTAGAGTTGTACTTGTATACAACAAAAGATGCACAATATTTCAGTTAATATATAACATCGGCCAAAGTTCGTTTAATATCAAGACATGTGTCCAATCGACCAATGTGTCTTGGTCGATACTGCTGTACCATATTTAGTCTTTAGTCAATCAAAACTAGCAGCACCAAGCTGAAGGATGAAGAGCTTTGTCAGCTCATTCACCACTTAGAACCTCGCTACAGTCTCCTAAGGTGGCACTTCTACCCTGGTGTCTCACTGCCTGATTATATGATGTGATTGCTACGCATTCACAGGATCCTAAAGAGGTCATATCATCAACATCACTTTCATTACACATTTACGGAGCTCAGAGGCTGGCCAGTTATCAGTAATTAGACAAAATATAAACATTTTGGCAAAAAAATCCATATTGGTGCACCATTACTAGATACATTTACACTCCTAATACAAATGAAAAAAATATATATACGCCATTCCATTTTAAGATATGATAAATGACTTACCGTCGGTACATACTCAGATGGAAACTTGTTCGTAGTGTATGAGATTAAAAGGCAGGTTTTACCAACAGCACCATCGCCTACTACAACACACTTAATAGTCTGCATAGCTGTATTCCTTCAGGATGCACACTTCTCATTCAATCTGCAAAACAATAAGATCAAATGAGCTCTGCAAAGAGCTGCCAGACAGAAACCCAGTCACTGCAGATTCCACTGCTGACCAATTCTTGTTCTACATAATTCACAATTTGTTTATTTGCCCTACATTTACAAAAATCTTGATACATAACAGCCTGGCTCAAGACTTTCTAGGACTGAACTAAAATTAAGAGCAAACATTTTAGATTTAATAAAAAAAATGAATGAAGTAATTTCCTCTATTACATTTAAATCACATTTGTTCTATATAAGATCAGTTTACAAAGCCAATATGGGGAAAAAAAAACTTGTCCAACAAAAACCTTGCTCTGAGCTCTGAAACACGTCCACCAGATGGAAACGTGAAATAATGCACCCCATATAAAGACAACACTATAGTAATGAGATACCTAATGATGCCATACTGGGGGAAAAAAAACACCCTTCTAAAACAATTTACCTTGGTGTGAGCAGCCACAATCCTGAGGAGCCACATTCTGGTTGACTTTCAGCTTTTGTTACCATTTGGATTGCTAGTCACTTCAGCAGCTCTCGAAGGCATTTTTAAAAAGCGATATAAAAATGTTCGAGGCTGTGGCTCAAGAGGACTAAAGCTGCCAGTCTAATTTAATTTGTGAAAATGTGAAGGAAAAAAATGTTAGACTTATTTAACTTGAAAATGCCTCTATTTTACAAAGGAGGCAATTTAGTGTTTTTAAAAAGCAACACTCATAGGGCGCGGTAAAGTGTTGAAACCTTTGGGTACTGTTCCTGCTTACTGCGATCAATGAAAGACATACAGTACCATTTAAAATTCCATATGTCTGCCTGGTACATTAGAAGAAAAAGTTGGTGTGCAGTGATTCATACTTTCAGTATGTGTGCCTTTTTCCTGAAATTGGGAAAGTTGAAGCTTTAACTGTACATTTAAGGGGATACATACCAACAGGCCCAATTCCGGCATTACGCATTTACCAATTGTAGAAGCACAATTCCTTTCTGAATCAAAGCTCAGCTCACAGGAAATGCACTCAGAGGAGTTTGGCTATGACTGGCCTTGTCGGCCGCGCCGCACCCCACCCCCGACACTCAGCTCGTTTCCTCACCCGGATTCACAGGTTTCCTCACAAATCTATACACGCCTTGCTATTCCTGACTGAATGACTTCCCACCGCCTACAGCTACATCTGCCTCGGAGCGAACCGATTTATCCGTCGGCTAACAGATCTCCCCTCCAAAGGCGTCCAACAGATGGCTGCTTACTATTCCCCGGCGTGAATGCATGGAAGCTACAACCCTGATGTGGTGGAATTAGTTTTAAGTAGTTTGCCCGAGGCGCGGAGACACCAATGCACACACCCAACTCCCTGCTCTACAACATTACGTATAATGTTACCATGATTAACTCACTCTCGACAAAACAGTTTGCAAACTTTCCAACTGACATACAAATACGTTGTTTTAAACGGCCCGGAATTCAGGTTTCCCATAATACAGGATACGAAAATTGTACATCCTTACAGCTTCCACTGCGCATAAAATGCCATACATTAACGAACAACCTCTTCCTCCAATCCATAAAATTTTCCATACACCGACTTCTAAACAGAATGCCTGCTCCATTATTAAACACCTTATTTACCTCGGACTGCCTGGATCTGATGACAGAGGCCGGTGTCCCACCGAGCCGCGCGCGAGCCAACGCAGTGCTGCATCCCGACAGGATCAGCGCGCTTCCGGAAGGGCATTTAACCAAACCTAATGCTAGGCGACTGTCCCTACAAAAGAAGGTTTCAACCCGATAACTAGGTATCTAGTTATAATATACAACGTAAAAGTCGTGGGCAGTAACTATTATTTTAGCTAAAACGCGAATCAATCCGTTTTTCGCTCAGTGCCGTGACATCACTGTACACCGCCTGACCGGCCATGGCAATTCGGATGAAAACGAGCCAAATACCGAGCTATTTTCCCAAGTGACATAAAATTTGGACGGTCATTACTAACAGCCAATTTACGTAACCGTTGGGTAGAAGAGAGATGTACATTTACCCTTAACCGGTCGAACACATCACCATTATAACGATAACTGCCCGATTCAGCGGACGCTAGCTCGGTAGCTAATTTCGTCGCCTATCACAAAATTTGCCAAAAACCAATACTTTTAGAACGCAATACATTGCTGCTTACTGTGAGAATACTACACGTAACAAAAATCACATCCGTCTGTTAAATATTTACAAAAAATAAAGGGAAGAAATTAGTATTTGCATAACATTCCTTACCGTTGGAAGCCTGACCGCTGACGGTTCTGCGCCGGGCGTTGGCAGCACGGGGTTTCCTTATCCCAACTGCAGGAGTGACTTGTATTTTTTTTTTCTTCTCCTTTTTTTCTTTTGGCGCATGGAGGTTTAACAGCTCTAAGCACGTTGTTGCCACCTACTGTACAGGATGGTCACAATCAGAAATTTAAAATACTTGCAAAATTTCAAAGAAAACGTCAGTTGACCAGGCAAAAATTTGAGGGAGACGTAATGTATTATGTATTAGTTAATAGACTAATCTGAATTCGTTTTACATAACATTTGCCTTTATTTATAATCCTGAAATAAGTTTACATTACACATCATTCTTCGTACAACCTACTGTTGTTTTATCCACGCTGTATTAAAAGGGACCTAGGCACACATATTTTGTAAACAAGTAAGATCATATAATAATTATACTTCTAATGGATGCGAAGACATCCTGTAAGAAATGAAGGGGTATTGTTTTTTAAGAATTTGAAGGAGAATGTGATTTACCCAAAAGTAACACATGGGGGCAGAAGTGAATCAAAAACACTCTTCCTATACATTTGTATGGTCCAATCCCCACAAGGAAAAAAATATTTATTAAAATAAGGAATGTACTTATAATATTACAAAATTCTATTAACATTTCAAAAATAATCTAAATTTTATTCTCAGGGTGAATACTATGTATTGCTTCTACAAGAAATCATCAGTATTCATCAATGAGATGTCTACAAGCGAACATACTGTGTTTTTTCTAATACGGCTTGCTTTTCTCTAAAATGAGTTTAATGAGTAATATATTGCCCTTGTTTCACTCCCATCCTGTAAGCCACGCAGAAACGGAAATCGCTTCTGGGATTGTTCCATTGTGTCCACACATGTAGCCAAAATGTTTAAGGCTTCAGTACTTAACCTGTGAGCCAATGAGATGTAAACGAGATGCAAAGTTACACCGTTTTAGACCGCAGAGTTAAAGGTGTGACTTTTCCCCCTCCAAGTCATTGTCCTGGCGGTCAATAGCAAAGGGAAACTTTGTTTGAGTACCCGATGTATTGTTCCACGCGCTTATGACCAGCTAAAATATCGTTTTGCATTCAGATATGCGTATGTCACTATGTGTGAGTCTGTATGTGTATGTGAAATATGCATAAAAACCCTGTACATAACATAGTTATTAACATGTCCATGGTTCTCATTTATTATTTTATATATTTATTTATTATTTTTATTTTTGGAATTGTTAGGGATCTTTTGTAATTTATGTTTTTGTTGTGATATTCCCCTCTATGTCCATCATTAATTGAAGTTACGTTTTTAAAATCCCTCTATTCTGTTACCTTTGTTTATGGTTGAAAACCCTATAAAAGATATTAAATATTATTTACTCAAATTTACATTATGCTACTTATATACCAATTTATTGTACGTTTTTTGATTTGATTCCAGCTCTAGACCTCAGACCTCAAATGACTTGCTATTGCACTTTGTGGATTTTCTGAATTTTCTAGAGGGAGGGGCTTCACAGCTCCATTAGCCAATCATTCTTTTACCCCTATTATACTCTGCAGCTGTAAAACCCATCATGCATTTCTGTTACCAGTTTTTTTTTTTTTTGCCATTGCTCCCCCCACGCACCAACCAGACCCTCTGGATCATGACAAGAGAGCCTCGCTGACTCTAAACAAACATCTCCTGATTCCTGTCAGCTGCTGCAGACACTATAAGAGCAATTTCTGTTGAAACCACAGCACCACCACATAGAAGACACACAGAAGACATAGATACCAAGGTGCCAGCACTTGTCGCTTGGAAGGGAAAAGCCTAGTGGTGTTTGAAATACACGGAAAAAAGTGGAGCTTCAAATGACAGTGTGCTCTGCTGATGGACAGCACTGGAAATTAGGCAGGGAGAAAGACACCATAAGGTGAAGTATTGGGCTTCTGTTTTCCGATCCTGTTTTGGCGCCATTTTTTGGTGATTTCTGGTGTGGAAATGGGCAAGGAGACTCTGCAGATGTTTTAGCACTGGTTCATTTGTTTTTGCAGAAAAAGAAAAGACTTTATTTATGCTGTGCCTAGGTACTGAGTAACTTTTTGACGCCTGTTTTTGAAAAACCCCCCTCCCCCAAAAGAGGAAAAGAAGAATAAGACTTAAGTAGGCAGGCAATATGGCCAACTCTGGGTTCCAGATTCTGGGCTATTTCCTGGCATTGGGCGGATGGATCGGCATCATCTCAACCACCGCTCTCCCACAGTGGAAGCAGTCATCTTACGCCGGGGATGCCATCATCACAGCCGTGGGGCTCTACGAGGGGCTGTGGATGTCTTGTGCCTCGCAGAGTACCGGCCAGGTTCAGTGCAAGGTGTTTGACTCTCTGCTGTCCCTGGATGGTGAGTAGGGCAGGTGGGGGTCCCACACAAGCGGCCCTGATTCTAACCCTCTCTTGCTCACACATACACCGCTGCATAGTTATACTCACGTATTTTCCACAGGTAATTAGTGTAATTTCTACTTCCTCATCCTTATAACCAACTTAATACTTCTCACAGTCTTTGCCTTCGGTTCTTTTAATCTGAAAATCATCTGAATGGTGGATCCATGACTTTGTTGGTGTGGTCAGAATTATTTTTCGGTAAAAGGAATAGAACATCAGGAACATAGATGTCATAAAAGTTGGACAGTTTCCTGCATGAATCGTTTGACCAACTGTAAAATCACTGGTATGCTTACAATAAAGTGTATCATAAGAGCATTTGGTCAAATGGCATGTGAATGTTAAACTGACAGAAATCAAAGCAAAGATTTAATATTTGTATTAAAATTTGTGATGAAAATCTGACTAAGTTCATTCATTTATAATAAACCACACCACTTTCTTGAAATTCTTCAAATAAGGAGACAACCAATGACAGCTGGTTGAAATTAAATTGATTTTTCTCTAGCTTACACAACTTGGCATTTCGGAGTATTATATAATCATTAATATAACCGTGAAATGAACTAGGAAAGATTAAACAAATAAAGTATTTGAGTAGCTCGTCCCCCATTCAAAATGATAATGAACTGGATGAAGTACAAAATGGAGGATCAGACGTTGACGGAGCAGCCCAGATTTCTGCGCCTCAAAGGACAGTAATTCCTTCCGTTCCCACTAGGTGGTGCCAAATTCAAACAACCGAGATTTAATGACAGTTGTGCATGTGGAACAGAGTTCCAAGAGATTAAAGGCAAAGCAAAAAAAAAAAACTAAATAAATCCACTACACATAAAAAGTTAAACATATAAAAAACAGAGACGTGAAGTGGGATAGATACGTGATAATTAGTGGAAGGTCTGGCGACGGGGGAATTCACCTCGGAGTCTGACAAAGACCGGCAGTATCCTGACACTTTCTTCAAATCTCTCTATTGTTGCCATGTTAAGTCATCAATGGGACAGTATCGTCAATGTTCTTCCCGCCAGCGTATAGAAAGCCATACAGGCCTGTATTGTTTACTTCCACTGGGGCTCCCTGGCCTTCCTCAGTGGTTATAATTCCTATTACTGTTGTAATTATGGCTGTCAGTGGAGATTTACACGATTCGACCACAGACTCCAGCACTGAACTGGCTACTAATTTTGACGCAGTGGTCTGCAAAGAATTTTAATATTTTATAATATTTATCAGACAACACATAGGGAATTTGGTCAGACCGGATTAGCAGGAACATAAGCTGTCGCCGATCGGATTCTCCCACTTTGCCTTTGAGAACAAACAGTCAGTGAAAATGGACACGCTCTCTGTAATCACATTTGTTATTGATTTAAACGGCAATAATATATATTAAACAGTTCAGCAAAATAGGTAAAATTAGGTTTATGCAAAACCTCTGTACCACACTTAAATATATTTCAGACTAGAGACAAAAACTAGTAATAGCATTTTATATCCATTTAAATTTACTCCCGTTCATTAATAAGTAAAATCATTCTTGATTTAATCACTGCCTTTCCATGTGCAAAGGAATTAAGAGTAAGACCATAAAAAGAGGAATAATCTAGTAGTTAAATGGATTTTTGAGCATTGCTGAGACAGTGATGTTGTACAGCTGTCAGTGCCTTCAGATTGTAAAAGAACACAATGAACAATGCCCTGTACAGTCCTCCAAGTCTCTGCCTGCTCACGGTCATAGATGTTTGCAGGCTCTTCCTTAACTTGCGCCTGGTACCACCAGCCGAACTGAAAGGCTGAAAAAGGAGATTGTAGAAATTATGAGAAGCTATTAATCTTCAGGGAACAGTGAGCATAGAAAATGAAAATGAGGATAATGACACTGTTAACCAGGTTATTCAATAACATAATAGGTTATTCATAGAATCAGAATACTAATATGCTGTTATGAGCCATTTACTATCCATTATAGGCTTGTAGCTCAATATAAATTAAATATAGCAACATTATTTCCTTAATTGTTTCTGTAAGCATACTATCATAATCAAACAAACACATGGTGACAACAAATGTTAATAAACAAATAGTGTAAAGTTGTTGATAAAACTATGCTATGGTCTGTAAAGATTAATAGTAAGTAGTTAAAAAACTACACAAACCCTTTACTACTGTTCTACTGGAAGTGAATATTACTCTGAAAAACCACCCAGTGTGAACTCTGGTGGAGAATGCTCTTTCATTAAAGTTCCTTGGTAAGGCCGTGTTCATTTTTGCAGGCACCTCAAACAGATACGTGAGGAAGCAGAGATGTTCCTTCAGCTTTGAAATCAACACATCCTTCTCTCACGGTCCCTCCTGTCTCCCNCCCCCCCCCCCCCTGCAGTGCACATCCAGACCTCCCGGGGCCTCATTGTTCTTTCTGTGCTGATGGGCTTCATCGCCATCATCATCAGCGTTGTGGGCATGAAGTGCACAAGAGTCGGAGACAATAACCCTCTCGTCAAGAGCAGGATTGCTATTTCTGGGGGGGTCCTCTTCCTCCTTTCAGGTGGGGTGTATCTTCAGTGCTCACAGAAAAGTCTTGGGAAACTTGCTTAATTCAGTAAAAATATTGCTTTATTTTACTTTCTTTGTATTTTATCACTTTATTGGGCAGTGGTGTGTTAATGGTCAGGGAAGCGACACTTGTAATTGAAAGGTTGCTGGTTCGAATCCCTGACCAGAAAGGCACCACGGAGGTACCCTGAGCAAGGTACCGCCCCCAAGCACTGCTCCCCGGGCGCTGAATTAGCTGCCCCCTGCTGTGTCACGACGTCACATATGGGTTAAATGCAGAGGACACATTTCGTTGTTGCGCACTGTGTGCTGTGGTGTGTCAACAATGACCACTGATCAACAAATTTATTCATTTGTTTATGAAAAATGTATATTGCGTTAGAAACAGCCTGTGGTTTTAAGTAAAACATTAATTTCAAGTAGTAATAAACTGACACCCAACTTATAGTTCGAAAAGAGCTGTTTCTGAGTTTAAAAGTTAATCGACAAGCATCACTGGGTGCTTTTTAATTAGTAACACCTCTGCAATAACATAAAACACCAAACATTTGTGTTTAGTATCCCTTTGGGAGTCAGTGACTACAGTAGTAATTGACAGTAAAATGGCAAGAAAAGAACTGAATGGGTCAGTCAAAAAAATTCTGATCTTAATAAAATTAATATGTACAGTTGGATATTTGGAGCAGCAGAAAACATTTTCATTTGATGAATATCAAGCTAAACTGCAGTTTGGGTCTCAAAATATGATACTACATGTTAATGTGAAACCACATTATTGACGTATATAGCAACAGCTGAGAAAACAGGAGCAAAGCGGCGATGTTGATTTGGAGATGCTGCTCTCTCCCGCAGGGCTGTGTACATTCGTCTCGGTCTCCTGGTATGCCACACAAGTGTCCCAGCAGTTCTTTAACCTCAACACACCCGTAAATGCAAGGTAAATCCTCAAATCTCAATGTAATTTTAAGGTAACAGAAATGTATATTGTCACAGTCATGAACAACTGAGTAGAATATAATGAGTTTGTTGTAATTTTTAAAGAGTCAACTAGACTAAAGAGTCTCTTTTTATTGTTCAGTGCCAAATCAGTCTATATATATTGTGACTGTATGTTGGTACGTTTGATGTATGAAAAGTACATGTAGTTTAAACCACCATCCTAATCTGAAGTGTAATATACACCATATGGACAGAAATATTGGAACACCTGGCCATTACACTTTTATGACATCACATTCTAAATCCACAGGCATCAATATGGAGTTGGTCCCCCCTTTGCAGCTATAACAGCTGCCAGTCTTCTGGGAAGGCTGTCCACAAGATTTTGGAGTGTGTCTGGGGGAGTTTTTGCCCATTCATCCTGGACAGCATTTGTGAGGTCAGGCACTGATGTCGGACGTGAAGGCCTGGCTCGCAATCTCCGTTCTAGTTCATCTGTTCCAGCACGACTGTGCCCTAATGTACAAAGCAAGGTCCATAAAGACATGGTTGAGTGAGTTTGGTGTGGAAGAACTTGACTGGCCTTCATAGAGCCCTGAACTCAATCCCATCAAACACCTTCGGGATGAATTAGAATGGAGATTGTAAGCCAGGTCAGTGCCTGACCTCACAAATGCTCTTCAGGATGAATAGGCAGAAACTCCCACAGACACACTCCAAAATCTTGTGGAAAGCCTTCCCAGAAGACTGGCAGCTGTTACAGCTGCAAAGAGGAGGACCAACTTGATACTGATGCCTGTAGATTTAGAATTGGATGTCATGACATTTCCTGTGGGTGTAATGGGCAGGTGTCAGTGGGGGAATATGATCAGATGAGAGCCACAGCCAGGCACAGTGGCTCTGTGGGCAGCAGTGTTTCTTCACACCTCCAAGTCAGGGCTTTGGGTTGGGCTCCTGCTCTCTGTGTAGAGTTTGCATCTGAGCTTTGTTTGGGATTTAAAAATGCTGTCAGAAAGCATTCTGGTGGTGAATATGGCTTGACTGTTTCATGCCGCTGTTATGAGCAGAGCCTTGATTTTGTTCTTTGTAGCTGATTGGGGTCTCACTTCTCTTATAGGTACGAGTTCGGCTCGGCTCTGTTCGTGGGCTGGGCGGCGGCCAGCCTGACCATGCTAGGGGGGGCCTTCCTGTGCTGCTCCTGCCCCCCAGAGGAAGGGGCCGGCCAGCAGTATTACAGGCACTCGCAGTCCCAAGCCTCCACCGCCAGGGAGTATGTGTGAGACCAGGAGGCTGCTGAGGGCATTGAATGCCAGTAACAAACACAAACTCACACACTTACAACACAGTCACACACACACGTAATCTAGCATTTCTGCATTACATATAACCTCACGCTAGTGATAGACAAAATGACACCACATGAACCTTTTGCTGTATTTTTTAGCCCACTAGATGGCAGTCTTTGTCCAAAAAAGGGCACAAAGTCTGATTTAAAGCAAACCAAGAGCACCATCTAGTGGGGTCAAAAAATACAGCAAATGGTTCATGAAGGGTCATTTTGTCCATCGCTACCTCACACCATCAAAATGGAAACGCAACTTTTTTGGCAGCTTTAATTTCTTAAAGATGGTGTAAAAGGCCATTTCCTCTTATGACATAACGTCTTTTCTAAAGGGATATATAGTCTAATCTGGAAGCAAAACCTAAATTATTAACCCTTGATAAAGACAGTAAAATCCTTACATACAGTACAATAACACGTTCACACCAAAATACACAGAGAAGTACATGCACAAAGAAACATTTAGCTAGAATTTTACAGGGAGATAAGATTAATGTTATATAGTCATATATTAGCATCATATAATCTAATATCATTTATTGTGTTTGGAGAGTGCTAAATTGCTGCACTGCTCCACAAAGAACAGTTGGTCTTAACATAAAAATATTGTTTTTTCACCTTCTAAATCCAAAGTTATTTTGCTGACCCTTTCCGAACTACACAATTGCTTTTTTTGTAATTAGTTATGATAAATAGTGTATTTGTTGTTTAATAAATATGTACAACCTCAGCATTTATCAAACGCGTTTGCTAATCGAAGACTGCAGATAATTTTACTCGGAAGGGTTGATTGACACAGTCACAGTGTATAACACATGTGGATATGGAAGATGATAAGCTTTTTGATTTTTTTTTTGTCAAGATATTCATAGGAAGCTGATATTTGTTTTAAATAAAGACGAGGATTTCAGAAAATGAACAACGATATTGCTCTCAAACTGTACTAATTCTATGTCATGTTCAGCTCTGAGCTTGTTTCTGGATAGTTTACACACGGGTTTAATTTAGATTAACGGGGTGTAATTCAATATGCACCATAATTAAGGCTGCAGTAAGTGTGTCGGTTTATCTCCGGCACCTAAACTACGTGCAGCACATTTTGGATTATGTTTTGAAAGCGTACACAGTTTATGACTTAGGAGACTGTGTTCTCTAAAAAATACCGCGCCAGCCTTAAAGTAGACTAGTAACGGCGGTCTCGGTGTGACTCTATATACGTCGTTTAAAACCGAAACCAGTAATCATTTTCATTTTTTACTAGCCTATATTTTTATGATCCATAGTCTTACTTAAACTAAAAACAATCACCTGAGAACTAAATTACAAGCACACGTGATGCATGCTGGTTTTAGCATATTAGTAACTGTAAAAAAGCTGTTCTATTCATATTAGAATGAAAAAGTTAAACTAGTAATTATTAGTTATGGTATCAGTATGTAGTGTACATGAAATTCATTAATCGACGTTCACAAAAATGTCAATATAACCATTTTCAGTTTTATTGAGATCTGGTCAGACTTCTTTTTCCGTGCCGCGGTCTTCGGGTGTTGAGGCGGTCAGTCACCATACATGCGCCAAATGTTTGCTTCCAATTAAATCGCACGCACAGAAGTTGTATTGTTGGACAAGCACTAGTGCCAGTAAATTGCAAACCCAGCTAAACTAATTTATTCCAGCTGCAATATATAAAAAAAATTGTTACTGCGTTTCATGCATTTCCCTGATAACCAAAAATTACATCAGTGGGGTGAAATTATAGTCATGCTATTCCTAAACCCAAGCATACTTGCACGATACTGTTTAACCAGTCCTGTTTCTACTGAGAAATGCGTAAGATTCCATTTACATTTTGAAATAAAACTGGGTTTTTAAAACGTTGTGATGTGATTCTTGTATTTTCTATTGAATAGTTAAAGGTACCCTGGCTTTTCTCAGGTATCATTATGTTGCTCCAAACGGAATAGAGGAAATAAAGTGCATCTTCTTTCTTTATAATTGATTAAATCTGGACCACACCATATTTTGTAAGTCTGATATTGTCTTCTGATTTTAAAATACTGATAAAATAAATATAAAACTCTAGTGTGAAATGAAAGGCAACATGCATTTTTGAGTTTTAATAGTATTCCTAGTCTGTATCGGGCCTCTGTGCCTGTGATCAGAAGGTTGCTGGTTCAAATCCCATGGTCGGCTGAATAATCAAGACCCTTAAACCCAAAAATGCTCCGGTGGTCACTGGATAAATGGGAAACCCTGCTGTGAGATCCGAAGCTTCATTCTCAGCTGTATGTAGGTGCAAGTCCCAATAGGAGAACAAGGAGGGATATACAAAAACTAAAGAATTCATGAACTCATACTATACAATAGGTAATGCAATTCATTTTATTTGTATATAACGACTTTCACAACACAGTCGCCCCAAGGTGCTTGACAAGAGTGCATGGCGATCCATTACTACATGATGTGTACAAAATGGTGCATGAAACAGTGAAAAGGGATATAAAGAATGCCAGAAGACAACAGAGGTGAGGAACCAAAAACTCCCAAAGGAGAAAAACATCTGGGGCAGTGATCGTCAACGTGTCCGTGGCGAGACTGCTCTGTGTTTGTGGCACAATGTTTCGATTGAGAAAATAAAACAGTTGGCTACTTTTTTAAACACCCATATCTGAGATTAAAAAATGCATTTAGATCAAAATGTCCATCAGAATTGTCCAGTTGTCCATGATCGACTGCTGGCCCAACACTGCAAGGCAGGCTAATATTATAAAATACAAGGAAAATTAGCCTGTTTTAATTAAAACAAAGATGTAAACTATAGTCATAATCTGAGGTTTTTTGAAATTTTCTCCACGCAGGTCTGGGTAAGCAGGCAAATCACACAGGCCACATGCTCAATATCACAGTCTGTAAGCTTCCATAATTTAGCAATGGCATCACTATTTTGTAATTATTGAAATGTGTAAACTTCATGAAAAATTAAGCATAGATAAATTTCAGGAATGATCCTATACAATGAGTCCTAATTCTACTCACTTTGGGAAAATGTGACTATTAGAATGTGATGAACTTAAATGGAACCTAAACTAGCAAGATCTGGCAGATCTGCCATATATATGTGTATATACACATACATACATACATACATACATACATACATATAAAAAGCGGATGTAAGGATCTTTTAATCTGGAAAAAATACAAGGTAAATGCAAAATAATGGTATTGAAATTACAGAAGGTTTGAAAAAGTTTTCTTCAAAAACAGTGACAGTTACCCAGAGCATAACAGCGTAGGGGTTAGTTTGCTACTCGGGTGCTACTCTGAAATAGTTCTTTAAACACTTTGTTCAGATATTTTTATTCAATATTATCCTTAATAATGTTGATGTTTTTGGTCCAGAGGGGTAAATATTTGCTGTCATGGTATAATTAACTGACAGATCACAATCCACTTACATATTATAAAGAATTATCAAAAAATGAATCGGTGTTTTACATTGGTATATTACAAATAACTGAACAGGAAATGTAAATATCTTAAAAGTGATAAAGTTAAGGGTACGGTACAAAAACTGACCTAGGGCTTAACTCAGAATCAGTGTTTGTTAAAAGGTTACATTAGAGAGAAACGGTGCAATAGTGCTGTTTTTTTTTCTTCTTTGTGCTTTCTCCAAGAAGAAAATTAATAAAACATGTTCATATACTTTTAAATATGCTTCAGTAAAGTAGCAGACTGGTGTGGGTTAGACATTCAATCATGTATAAAACCATAAATGATTCCTACATTATGACGTACAACTTATGGAATGTGTGAAGATGTATGTCTTTGTTCTGATGGAATTCTGATGGAATGTTCTGGTCTATGGTAGGGGATGGACGCCAAGTGCAATGAAAGCAGAGGTTACTGGGTTTGTCCAGAGCAATAAGGGAAGAGCTTCAGTGAGAAGCCCACGGACCACTAAAGGGCTTAATTTTGATTAGGTTGCTTCCATATCCCACTGTCATTAACACATCTGCAGACAGCAATTCCAGCTGCAGAGACGAAGCCCAAGAATGAAACTGTGTTCTAATAAACATGGTGAAATCATGTACGTGTATTATGGAAAAATGATTGAGCTATCCGGTTCTAATGACATGATGTAAGAGCTTCTGTCAAAAATCATCTTCATTAATTCGAGAAGTTGAAAGGTTATATTGCAATTCAATAATGTCATATTTTTTGTCACAGTTTTGATAATTTTTTTGAGTCAGAACCACACAGTGGCAGTAATCAGTCCGAACACCCCAACCCCCACCCCCCAGAATGTCAGACAGAGGAAAATCACCGGTGGAGGACGTGTAGGAGTGATGCCCGAGGCCAGTTACCCTCAGAGTCGTAAACCTCCTGTTTGGAGTCTAATGGCATCTTTACAGTCGCTTCATGAGAATTCAGGGCACACCTTTCATACATTGAGGTTCAAAAATAGCGGTGGAAAAAAACAAGGGTTATTTATTTTGGGTGGGAGGAAGGCAGGAGTGGGGGATGGAGGAAGGTAATGGAGTCTTGCATTATTCAGAAGAGGTTCTCTATTACATGTAGGCCCAGAATCCGCCTCGTTCTGTCGTGCTTGACCATCTCTTTTTTTTTTTTCACCCACAAATCTGTCTAGTTCTCCTAGTCACACAACGTGTGGGAGTCAGGTGTTTTGTACCGGCAAACCTTCATGTAGAACCTAAGCATGAGTCCTGCCTGCTCAAAGTGGAGGTAAATCTTAAGCTTTCAAACTTGTCAATCTGAACTGATGCGTTTATTTTGAAATCTGTGTTGTGCTTCATTTTGCATGCACGTCATACGCTTTATTTTAATAGTACAGGTTCTTTGTACTGTGTGTGTTCTGGGGCTGTAGGAGATAGTGATGTACTGTATCTGCACTATCTGGCCATAGATTATCCACAAAGCTTATTTGTACTTGTTATTGCTGTTGCTGTTGTTATTTATGGATGAAGAGCAGTGTACTGAAAGCCATCTTTTGCTGAAGGAAATCATTAAAAAACCAATTCAGTGACTCTGCCTTTTGTTTACTGCTTGTACAATGCTATTGGGGTCCATGCTGTCACAATACACCCAGTAAGTTGGCTTTTCCTGGGTTGAGAAATCTTGCATGTCCTTCTACTTCATGTCTGGCCTTTTTAATACAAGTCGTTAGATGCTTCTAATTGTGTTTATTGCTAAATGGCTTCTCTAACTGAGGTACCAATGGGATAGTCAAAAGTCTGATTGGACTAAACAATATGTAATAAATCATGGCAACATTCAGAACTGTAAAGTCTGCACTGTAATGAGAGGAAATGAGAATAGTTGTGGTATGATTTCAGACACTGTACTGGTGCCATGTTTAATTTGTGTAAAGAAATTAAAGGGAACAATGAGCATTGCACTAGTTTGATGTTTGCAAGAACTGTCTGGCAAGAATCATCTGGAGTTTGTTTAGATGAAAATATTTCATTTGTGTCTTCTGGTAAAAAAGTATTTTGTTTTTGGAGTCCTCCAGAGTTGAAAATGATCGTGGTTCTCCAGTTCATGGCATTCTGTCTGGCACTGGTGTCTACAGTCTTCCTGATAGTGGCCACTTGGACCGACTGTTGGATGGTCAATGCTGATGATGATTGGGAGGTGAGCAAAATTAGCTGCAGGATTAATGGACAAAAAATGCATCTGTGCAAATCATTTGTTGGCCAACATTTATTTTGGCAAACAAGTTGCTTCTGTGATGAAACTGCAGGTAAGCATTTCCGAAAGAAGATGCTTGACAAATATGCATAAAGAAGGAGGTTATTGATACACATATGCACATTCACACATAGGTATATATACAGGTACAGCAATGGCCTATTGACACATGACCTACTGCATGTTTCTGCTGTGCTCTTTTTAATTTAGGCTTTCCCGAAAATGTTCTTCATGCAAGCAAGATTGTTCTGTTCAGTCTTTTTACATTAAGACTGTCAAGAGTGTTAGTTGTTGCTCCACAGTCCTTGTGTTCACAAAGAGTTCTTTGGGCAAATTCCCATGTAAGGGATGTGTATGTTTGTGTTTAAAAATACATACTGTGTTTGTGTCTGATGACATGGAACCTCACAGCCTTCCATCAATGTCTGCTGACCCGTTCCAGGTCAGCCAAAAATGCCGAGGACTGTGGTGGGAGTGCGTGACCAATACGCAGGATGGGATCCGCACATGTGACCAGTATGAGACCATCCTTGCTGAGCATCCGTGTAAGTTGACAACTCCCCGTTTCACACATAACTTTTCCAAGTGTTAGACTGGATACAGAATTCTACTGTTGGACTCTCTCTGTAACTATTACATATTCATCATTTCATCATGTTTTCCCTTGTGCAGTTATTCATTAATTCTGCTTACGTAAAGACGGCATACATAAATTTAGAACTTAAGAAGACCATGCTACATTGTCTTTCCTGGATTATAAAGGGAGCGTTGTCTTCTTAGTTATGCGAATTTTGAACCATTTTTACTGGCCATCATTACAGTACTTGTGGACTGCTGCAGACAGATACACAGATATGTCTATAGGCGTCTTCTGTGATGGAGAGTCTCAGGTCCTTCAGACAGTGTAATGCTGCTCTGCTGAAGCCACCGGTGGTGTTTTGCAGTGAAGATCGTGTTGACCCGAGCCTTGATGATCACTGCTGACATTCTGGCCAGCTTTGCACTCATCATCCTTGTCCTGGGCCTGGATTTTATCAAGCTTCTAAAGGAAGAGCCCAACATCAAGCTGAGAATATGCTACTTTGCAGGCTTCATATTTGGACTGGGAGGTATGAGGGCTGACGAGCCCAACAACTGTCAGCCTATTTCTGGAATCATCAATGAATCTGTTTTAATAGCTTAAAAAACACATTATCTGTCCTTTTTCATCCAGGCATCCCAGGAATGATTGGTTCAGTGTGGTATGCAGTGGATGTGTACGTAGAGAGAGCCACCTTTGTCCTGAAGAATGTCTACTTAGGAATGCACTATGAGTTTGGCTGGTCCTGTTGGCTGGCAATGGCTGGGTCAACAGGATGTTTTCTAAGCTCGATTGTACTAACATGCTGCCTGTATATTTTCAGGGGTGAGTTCAAAATAAAAGTCTCTCACTAATTTTAATGCCAGTATAAACATGCATGGAATTATTAAAGCATCAAATATTTCCCCTCTCCTGGTACAGATGCTAGATCCTCTCAGTACCACAGGTCCATATACCAGTATGGAAGGACAGCAGCAGGCAAAAAATACGCCATGGATTCTCGTGTCTAAGGAATGGATGGCAGGAGTGACTTCAGAGGTGATGCGGATGAGGAGCATAGTCACATCGGACGGAGGACTTGATGGCCGCCGAGGGGATTCTTATTTTGAAGTGTTTTAGCGGAGCCTTTTAGACGACTGGCAAAGAGGGATCATGGCACCAGCTGACCTGGCTTGAGAGATTAAGTGTGTTGTTAAAACACATCAATGTCTTTTATATCTCAAGATGAACCTGAGACTTTAAAGATTCATTTCTTCACTGTTAAATATTGTAGTAGGACATTTAAATTCACTTACACTGCCGCTTAAACTACAAAGCATGGATTCCTTTAAGCCATGGATTTTTTTTGGTTGTTTTTCAGTTTTTCTGAACCGAATATGTCATCCAAAATAGTGAATGTAGCCCATTTTAGCAGCGGAAAAAAATTGACCAAAGAATTTTATATACATACACATATATCCACCACTCTTTCCGCAATAATTTTGTTAAGCTGATCTTGGCAGGTGGTCAAGATTAGAAATGATTATTAGGCTAACACACAGCCATACTTGAAAGTATTGTCTGTATAACTGATTGTTAAAAACTATAACATATAATTATTTAAATACACAATTACAAACCTTCAGAAAAGCCTTTGTATAAATGTTATCAAAAGAGACAAACAAAATCAACTTGTTCTGTAATATCTTTGTACATGTATCTGGTTTCCATTGCAATGTAAAAAGAGAACTGTTTCTAGTTCACATAGATATATGTCAAACAGGGAACATTTATGAAATAAAATATTTAAATGTATATTGACCAAAAGTATTGCTTTGAATAGCACCCATGTAGTTGTGATTGCCCATTGCTCGAGATTTATATTTAAAGGAAATACCCACGGCATAAACAAGGAATATTTAAGGCAGGGGTGTCAAACTGCAGTCCTGGGGGGCCGGAGCCCTGTGTAACTTAGTTCTTTCCCTGTTCCACCACAAATGATTCAGCTCAACAGCTGTGTGGTAATTAGCACAAGGAGTTGAATCAGGTGTGTTAAATGGGGGGAAACCCAAAAATGTGCAGGGATCTGGCCCCCCAGGACTGGAGTTGGGCACCCCTGCTTTAAGGTGCCATGAAATTACATTTCTGTTCAGATGACCCTGACATGTTTTCCAAACACCACAAATCCTTAATGGTCAACTTGGTGGTTGTGGGATTGCAGAAGTTTGCCAGAATATATTTATACAATGCTGTGTAATTCTCCAGCACAGAGAAACAACCATGGCAACAATAACCAAAACTGTTTTTGCAGCAGACCCACACTCCCGTACAATTTGCACGAAAACACACACACATTTTTCAGTTTCCTTCCTTATATTCTTCCTCTGGACCCAGCAAAAGCAATTAAAGGTGGATCATCCTTTGGACTGGGGGGTGCAGAGCCTCCCGCCTACAAATACTCACCCCGTGTTTAATAAACTAGGGCGGATTTCAGAAGCTAATAGGAATAATCAGACACAAAGCTGCTTTGTTTATGTATTTACAGACATCTTTACAGATTTTAGAAGTATTCTATGAATGTTTCTGTTTTTAACCCAATTTATTTACAAAATTACCCTTTAACTGATTTTTTTCACATCAAATGCTGCTGAGTTTATAATTGTTAGCTAAAATTGCATTGGTTTATAGCAAGTTAAAATTCAAGATCAGAATGGCATTTTTGGTTGACCTTCCTTCAAAGACTGATTATGCCTGATTATATCTGTCTAGTGAAACAGTCAAAATGTGCCCAAAAAACTTAACAAATTTAGTTAGTCAGACTAAATACATAGAAAACTGACTATAGTTCATGAAGGCCCACTTCTGCCAACCACTTACAAATTCTTACTAAAATCAGATGTTTACTAAATCATCAAAATTAACAGAAGTACACATTTACAGCCCTTCTAAAGTATTCATAGCAGTCTTTTGAAAGTGTTACAGTTTGACTGTACTGTATGCCAAAGATGGGAATAAAGCATCCTGTCTGTTCACAGAAGATAAAGACACATTTAGTGTCAGGTGAGGAAAGCGGATGTCAGTGTGAACAACGGATCCCTGCAGCCACATGAAAGGTGCATCATCCAGTAGCCTTCTGGACACTAACAATCACAACACAACCTAGCAAGGCACCAAAGAGGATCCAACGCAGAACTGCCCATATATCTTGAAACTTAAACTTGAGCTCGCTGTGTCAAAGGGAGGTAGGATTTAAAGATCAGAATCCATTTATTCATTATAATACCAACCATACAAATAATAATCAGGTGTAATTAATATCAAGAGCTAAAATGATTATGCATATGTCAAGGTAACACACATGGGCGTTTATTTATACATGTTTCGAGAATACTTATGTTTTATACAGTAAAGTAGCCTGTTGTAGGTGTTTACTATGAGTTAGTAAGACTCACGGTGCTCTGCTGCCCCCAGCTGGCTTGGAAGCTGTAGTGTTCACTGTAGTAGCATGAGCTGGTCTATCTGTGAAGACCAAATTGTCAAAGTTTTTTTTTATTTTTTTTTTATGAATCACTACGTGTCGAAGATATAAATCACATTATAAATCAGTGGCAATTGAAGACCCTATTGAAGTTTCATCCACATGTCATTCAAATGTTATTGTTGGGGACCCGTTCTGTGTGTGGCAAACATTACTGGGGCCTCAACTGCCATAGGGGTCAAATCCTTGGATTGTCCCAGTTTAAAATCCTTATTACTGCTGTACACACAGACACACACACACACACACACACACACACACACACATATTTGTATTCATATCTTTGTAGGGGCCGTCCATTCATTTCTATGGGAAAAACCCTAATCACAACAAAGACACCCTTAACCCCTACCCAGCCCCAACCTTAACCATAAGTTGCCAAACAAAAAACAAGACTTTTGGCATTTTTAGTTTTTTGACTACATTCACACATCTTTGTGGGGACCTGAAAAATGGTTCCCACAACGTCAAAATAACAGGTGTTTAATTATATTGTGAGGAACACTTGGTCCCCACAATGAAATAAAAACATAATCCACACAGACACACACACACACACATATACGCAAATGCGGCTAAAATGAGTGCAGTGTATCAGAATATACACTCACCTAAAGGATTATTAGGAACACCTGTTCAATTTCTCATTAATGCAATTATCTAATCAACCAATAACATGGCAGTTGCTTCAATGCATTTAGGGGTGTGGTCCTGGTCAAGACAATCTCCTGAACTCCAAACTGAATGTCAGAATGGGAAAGAAAGGTGATTTAAGCAATTTTGAGCGTTGGTTGTTGGTGCCAGACGGGCCG